CTCAAGTCTCAACTTATTTGTGCTTTGGTAAAACTCATTAGTTTCAATCTCAGCCTCAGTGAAGCATGATAAGAAAAATTAAGCTGCTATGAACAATCTTATAATCTAAGGTGTATTATAAGTAAAGGTGGCTGAACTGCTGTTATGAATTAGCCATCAGTACTTACTGTATATTAATAGAGTTGAATAAAAGTTTATTCTCACTTTCATATAAATTGTTTGCTCATTTCTTTATATTATTGACCTAAAACCAATACAGCATTCTTTAGACTGACATCCTTGAGTGGGTCTCTTGACTGAATGAATTTTTTAAATTACTATTTAAAAAATATTTTTGGAGTACTTAATATGTAAAGGGTACCAAACTGGATCTTTATGTATTCTGTTTATCCTTGTGAAAAATCATGAAAACCTGTGAAGTCCCATTAAGTAATTCCACAGAAACATTAGAGAAGTCTGACATCTTGATCATGGCTAGGAGAGTCTCACGTATTTTACAGTTTTAAGTAATGATTAGTGAAAATTGCCTTTTATTTTCTTTGACGTAATATTTCAGATAACTTTAATACTTTGACATTTTCATATAAACATTTTTCTATAAAATTAGCTTTTTCTGTGCAATCTTGACACACACACACACACACACACACACACACCCACACCCACACCCACACATGTGTGTGTCACATTTAGGTGGGAGGTGGTTAAGATTTTAGGGATTACATTTAAAAAACTAAATATCAAGGACAAGTTAGCCAAGTGTTTTGAAGTGGATGATTTCTGAATTTTGCCTTTATTTATTGGGTCTTTACAGATGTTCAGTGGTTGTGGAATCAAGATGCTTCCCGAGATTTACTGCTTGCCATCCACCCGCCAAATTACATCGTGCTCTGGAATGCAGACACTGGCACCAAACTGTGGAAGAAGAGCTATGCAGACAACATTCTTTCCTTTTCTTTTGACCCTTTTGATCCCTCACATTTAACTTGTGAGTAATGGTTGCTTGTGGAAAATGAGTTAAGTGAGGTATTTATAATATCGTGATGTCATATACGTAAGATACACACACATATTATACATCTGTAACATTAAAATGACTGAGCAAAGCGAAAAAGCACATCTAGTCCATATATCTGCAGCTCCTAATACACATACTAAATCATAACCCCGTATCATTTGCAAGTATTTCAATAGTTAGAAATGTAGGTCAGCAATATTTAGGAATTTAAATATACCTTTACTATGTTCAATTTGTGAATAGTATTAGACTAGCCAGGGACAGACAGTTACTTTGATATTCTAATTCAGACTTAGTTAAATTTTTTTTTCTAGGAACACTTAAAAAACTTGAATCAAGGGTTTCATTTAGTCTGTAACCAATTTAAGTTCTTGCTTTTTAAATAATTGTCCTACTTCATGCTGTTGGTTTGAGTGCCATAAACAGACACATGTAAGGAACAGAGTAGGCCCAAGGGAATTTTTTCTTACGGAGGCAGTTTTTGCCAATGTGCTTTTGATGTTTTACTGAGCTCATGATCTTAAAACGAGATGTGTTTTAGATATATTTGTGGCTAAATTATTTAGAAAATATTCTTTATTCTGTTATCCAACAGATATTTCTTGAGCTGTTACTACTGTTCTGGGAATCAAAGCAAGGGTTCCTGCCTTGACAGAGTTTCCATCCTTGTGAGAGGGAGTCAGATCATAAACTATGAACATAATGAATTATTAAATTCTAGTATATTAAGAGGTGATAGGTGGTATAAAGGAAGTAAAAGAGAATAAAGGTGTTGGAGAAGAATGGGGGATGAGGTGGCAAGTTGTATTAGATAGAGTGGTCAAAATAGGTTTCATTTTGATAGTGATCAGAAACGTGAAGGAGGGAAGGGCATTAGCTATGGTGAAGAATGTTTTCTCTGGGTTTGAATGACTCAAAATTCTAACTTTTGTCCATCAAGGTTTTTCAAGGGGATGCCTGTGTGTGTGTGTGTGTGTGTGTGTCTGTGTGTGTGTGTGTGTGTGTGTGTGTGTGTGTGTCTGTTGAAGGAAGAAAAGAAAGGCAGACAAGTAGAAGGTAAATGGGAAATGGGACTATATAAAAAACTACAATACAGTGTGTTTAGGCTTTTGCATATATAACTGTTTATTTATGAACATGTGCATACATATACTCAGTCACCAGTTGGCTTATATAAACGCAGTGCTGTGGGAACACAGGAGGGGTACCTCAGCTGGCAGAGTCAGGGAGTGAAGGCATCGCAAAAGAAGGGAAGCGGGGGGACCTTGAAGGATGAGTTCTGGAACCTGAAAAGGGGACAAGGCTTTAGGCTAACTTGATGGCGTCAACTCTTTCCATCCCTATAATTTGGTTGGTGAAAGCACTGTGTATTTCAGAGTGTCAGCTGACCTAACATTATGCTCATGCTGAGTGTGCAAGGGTTGTCATGTCTCTTGAATGCTTCCTTTTTCCCTGTGCTTCAAGCAGCCTTAATAATTGCCAGGATCCAGGATAGATAAGGTTTTTCTGCTCATATATCCCAGTATTTGTCAGCTTCAGTGTTAAGGGAGATTATTTTTTCAGTTATGAAAAGGCCTAAGTTGTATTGCTAAATGTGGTACTCCGTCCTTGAATATTTTTGTTTCATGTACACTTAGTAAGCCACTGGGTGTCCTACTTCTTTTTTTCTAAATGTAAAGGAAAAAGAACACTCTTTACTCCTGCTAAGTTAAGTATGATGCTTGAGAAGAAAAAGGAAATATGTTTAGGCTGAATATAGCTCATCATAATCATTAAAAATTTGGTTTCATCAAGTCAAATATTTGAACTTGGCTACTTGTGATATGCAAAGCCCCTTAAATGTGGGATTTTTTTCTTCTTGTGTAAATCTTATATTCTGAAAAGTGTTTGGATTTTGAAGTTGTGGGATATAATGAGGGAGGGACTTTTAATGAAAGTCTCTGCACTGAATTTATCTGGAAGAACAAACATTTGTTCTTCCTGCCAATAACCTTCTGGTATCTTTTTAATATAAAACATAATTTAGAGTGCTGAGCTTGGAGGCCTCTAAAGAATTGTAATGGACCACCTGTTTCTCTTGAACTTGGAGAACATTCCCATTATATTATGAGTACATAATATTGCCAGTTCTATGTTATTAAAATTATCATTATTTTGCTCTGAAAATTGTATCGGAATAAAACTGTGCTAAACTTGATTAAACTTTAATCAGAGTTTTGCTTTTCTCAATATAGTACTCACCAGCGAGGGTATTGTTTTCATCTCAGACTTCTCTCCATCCAAGCCTCCCTCGGGCCCTGGGAAAAAAGTTTACATATCCAGCCCACACTCTAGCCCATCTCATAACAAGCTGGCTGCAGCCACAGGTGCCAAGAAGGCTCTTAATAAAGTAAAAATTTTAATCACTCAAGAGAAACCTAGGTAAGTTACAAGTGTAGAACTAACGACACTCACCTACTTACAGATATGAAAACATCCTTTTTGAAGATGTACTAAGACTGATTTTCTTTTTCATCTCACCTTTTCTCATTTCTAATTTTGAGTTTATTAGAGGAAAAAATATTCATTTTGTCTTCTCCCTAAGAGAAAATTTAGCATTTATCATGGTTCCTTTCTTTCCGCTAGCTGTGCTAAACTCCCCTGCTGATTTTTACAGATTAAAATTTTTACGTCTGATTTCTACTTCTGAAAATAGATGATTCTAAAGTTGTGGTTATTGAATACATTAAAAATTTGGGCAAGAAAGCTGGATTTTCATTTTAAATACAATTTCATGACTTCAGTGCTGTGCAGTCTCATTAGCCAGCAGAATAAGGGTGTCTTCCTTATGCAGGTGAAGATGTTTCCATCCTGGTTAAAATCCAAGGCTCTAGGGGAAGCTGTAGCTATGTGACTTTGAGAAAAATCTGTAAGCCACTCTCCCAATCTCTAAAATAGGGTTTTAAAATATTTCATAGGGTTGTTGTAAAGATTAATCAATACAATAATGTAAGTAAAGTACTTAATGTAGTGGTTAATACTTAGTAAGCATTCACTTAGAAAATGCTAGCCATTACTGTGTATTTAGGAAATTGCAACTGAATAAAATTTTATTTTAAGTAACTAATTTTATGCATTAGAAAGAGATATCTTTTTTTCCTAGAGCTATGATCTATATATTACTGCTTTGGCAGATTTTTTTGGCACTCATTTTAAGATAGCCTTTATTTTTAATGTGCTAAGATTATTCTGTCTAGACTTTGTGGGTAATTACCTGAAAACTATATGGTGAAAGTATGAATTGCTCTACAACTACATTACAAATTTGTGTGTTAATATCACTTTTATATATTAAACCATAGACTGGTTAAGTTCACTAGTTAATTTACCCCTGTCCTGTGCCAAAATAATTTAAGATTTTTCCTTAACTTTCTATTTTTCATGGATTCCTTGTTATAAACAGATAACTGTGTGGCAGTATGAATAGTTTTATAATCTGTGATTTATATCTCTTAAGTTTTCTCTCATATGAATTACATGTAAATTGTGAGTCTTAGGGAAAATACATTATTTGTTCCTTCAAGTAGAACTTCTGTGGGTGCTTTCACATCCATTAATTCATGTAATCTTAGCACAATTCTGGGCAGTAGTACTAGTCTGATTTTACAGATGAGGTCAACTGAGTCCTACATCATTTTAAATAAAGTTACTCAAACTCACCCAACTAGGAAATGGCAGAGTCAGGATTTTAATGCAATAAAAATCCCTCTCTTTCTAGTCCTATAAACTAACTTTATTTTAAATTTCAAAGCCTTTCAATAAAATCATAGGTAAAAAGAAAATATTAATAGTACATAATTTTATGGCTATTCCTATTAAAATATATTAATATTCAAAAAGGTGATTAAATATATGCAGCAATCACAAATTACTAAAATGATGTTTGAGACTCTGTAACTGTCTTTTACAGTCCACATAGTTTCATCTGTTTTATTTACACAGAAGAAAGTGCTGTGATGTAAGTAAATAAAATACCCTACTTTGTTTCAAAAAGAATTTGAGACAGCTTAAAAGTGAATGAAGGTGGAGAAGGGGAAGTGGCTTGCCTGAGGCCAGAAAGTCCAGTCTGGTCCAGTGACCCTACTTGCCCTAAATGTTGATATTTTAATCCTGAGTCTCGATTACAGCAGTCTATCTAGTACTTGTAATTACAAAGTAAAAATAAAATACAACTATCTTATGAATGCCAGTCACTTACCATCTCATATCATAGACATAATACTCTACTACTTCACATATTTCAAAAATTTAGAAACACTGGCATTTCTACTCAACCTATACAATATTACTGTCATAATTTGGATTTTGGCACACACAGGTCTACATTTTAGATGCTAACCCATGTTGGTCATTTCAGGAAAGAGTTGTAAATTCTCATTGACAATTTTTGTATGGAAAGTACAAAATTAAATCATTTTCTAGCTCTTTCTGATATGAATTAAGTCTTTGAGTCATTTCTCGATTCCTAAAGTAAATGTTTACTTTTTTCAGTGCTGAATTCATGACTCTTAATGATTGCCTTCAATTGGCATATCTGCCTTCAAAAAGGAACCACATGTTGTTACTCTATCCTCGAGAGATTTTAATCCTTGACCTTGAGGTGAATCAAACAGTGGGTGTGATTGCAATAGAACGAACAGGAGTTCCATTTCTGCAGGTATCTACAATTTTTAAACTACGAATGTTATATTGGAAAAGACCATAGTCTCGTGAAAGTCCTTAGTTCCATTTTCTCATTTATATTTATTGGAAGATTAACAACATTATTTTGTATTCCTTGTTTTTCTGAACTTTTGATTAGTTTGATTTATCCTGGAAATTGTGACCGATCCTGAGGTATTTACTGAACTATTTAAGTTACATGGATAAAGATAAATTTTTTAGGATTATAAATGGATTTTTTAAATGTTCATTTAGTTCTAAAGCTTGGTATTATTTGTGTATTTTTGTTGTTTGTTCATTTGGCCCATATTCTCTAAGTATGAGTTTGAGTTTCACGGTATATGCTTTATTAACCTATTGTGTTTTTAAAAAAATAAATATATCATCTGTTTAAAGGTAATACCCTGCTTTCAGCGTGATGGTTTATTTTGTCTACATGAAAATGGTTGTATAACCTTACGTGTTCGAAGATCTTACAATAGCATTTTCACCACTTCAAATGAGGAACCAGGTGAGTTTCTATCTCGCAATAGTGTTAGTTATATTTTTCTTCAAAATTATTTTATAAAGCTTCATGTGGCAAATACCAGCCAAGGCATAGAGTTAATTATAATCCTTACCTTGAATAAGTGTTAGATTATAGTTACAATAGGAGGCATAAAAAAGTACAAGTCTAAGATTGATCTCTTTGTTATAACTGTGCACTTTCGGTATACAACAGAGAGTAATATTTTGTAATTTTTTCTGATTGTATCTGTGAGCCAGGTGGATGTTATCTTCTGTGAATTTTTCTTCAGTACAAGTCCAAACTTGGATGACCTTATTATTATACCTCCCTGACTTCTGCTTAGTTTCAGGAACTTCCATGGTAAAGTGATATAGGTTAATAAGTCTCCAAGGCACTCAATTGTCAAGTCAGTCTTATCTTAGAGAACAGAAATAATGTTTTTGTGAAATGATGGACCGTGTAAAGGTGAAAGTGATTTTCACATCTTTTGTAAAGTATAGTTATTTTCAGGCTTGTTATAGACCACTGCAAATTATGATAGCAGTGTGTCCGTTATTTAATCATATATCACTGTTCATCCTTTTCCAGAGTATTTTATTTCAAAAGTATCGAAAAAAGATATCTCAATCATAGTTGTTATTTTGGAGATGAAGCTTGGAGTGTCCAGTCATAAAGTGAATTATCTTTATATTCTGAGGAAATTTAGTAGTAATTGTAAGAAGTGAACCCATTGTTGACAAACTTTGCATTAGTGAAGGAGTGATATCCTTTTTAGATGAGGTTTTATTTAAATTGAAACAAATAGTAGTGATATTGATATGGATGCTTTCTCATATTTAAAAGAAAATAATTTTATATTAAGATCTAGATCCTGTTCAGGAGCTTACCTATGATTTACGAAGCCAGTGTGATGCAATCAGGGTGACAAAAACTGTCCGTCCCTTCAGTATGGTATGCTGTCCTGTCAACGAGAATTCAGCTGCCCTCATCGTGAGTGATGGCAGAGTCATGATATGGGAACTCAAGTCTGCTCTTTGTAACCGCAGTTCACGGAACAGGTACATGAGTTGATAAGATTGTGTTTTTGTTTTGTTTCCTTTTTTTTTAAATTATCAGAATCATGCAGAAATAGCAGGGCCATTTTTCTATAAAAATGTTTTCAAGGTGATAATTAAGGCTCTAGATTATTAGAGAATTATGTAAACCTGCTAGAGTTATTTCATCTATGTATAAGATTAATATTAATAAATACTATAAAAATAGATAGAATGCCATGATCTGGAGTTAATAGTTTGAGTTCTTAATATGTAATGCAGGTTTTAAATTTGTGAAAACATCTAATTATTATGTCTTTGCAGTAGTTCTGGTGTGTCACCTTTATATTCACCAGTGTCTTTCTGTGGAATTCCTGTAGGAGTGCTACAGAATAAACTCCCAGACCTTTCCTTAGATAACATGATTGGTAAGCTTGTTTTTTCCCTCTAACTTTCATGTTAGGTATTCTTTTTGAAGGGCAAAATTAATAGAGTCACTGACTTGCAATTATTATAAAGTCAAAGTTAATACTTGAGAAAACTAAAATGTTTTCAATAAATCAGAGGGGTATAAAATATTGAAGCATCAAAGTACCTGAAGCAGCATAGATTGGCATTATAGTTGTTGCAATTAGAAAATGTTCACTCATGAGAGACTTCTGGTCTAAACGAAAGAACACATTAGGCATCTGGGTCTGGGATCTGGGGCCCTTGCTGAGCTATACCACACCTCCCAGGGCCTGCATGTTCGCTAGTCACGCAGCTTGGAATTAAGTGCACGCTTCCTCTCTCTCCTTTTCTGCTACTCCTAATTCACAATTCAACTCAAGTGTTTCTTTCTTTAATCTCCTAAGTCTGATTTAAATTTTCTTCTTTTGTGGCCCCTAATAGTTATCAGCTGTATTTTATTTGTAGTTATTTTTGCTTCTGTTTCATTCACTAAGTTATAAGCTCCACAGGGGTGGGGCAGTGTTTGATTCCATTTTGTATCCCTCAGCACAGGGCCTTGTGCAGTCTAGATTTGCAATAAATATTTATTAAAGGAATAAAATAACTGAACAATATTAGAAAAAATTATTTTAACTTTTTGACATGAATTTTCTTATTTTTGTGTTCAGGATTCTTTCAACAAATATTTACTTGTAGATAAAATAGTCAAAGTTATTTAATTATTGTGGGGCTAGTACATCCATATTAAAGGAAGAATGAGGATTTGTGATTTTAAATTTTATGCAACTTAAAATTGTTAGACTTTGTAACTATGCCAATCAATTTTGACATCTAATTCTTTTAAAATTGTGGCTGTGGTTTATAAAGGATTTTCTGTATCATTTTTTATTCTTCCATAGTGTAATTGAAAATGTATGTTATTTAGGTTTTTTGTTGAAATGCTAGGTAGGTAATATACTATTAATAGAGCATTACCTTATTAATCATTAATCAGATCATGTTTATTGAGTGCTTAATACTACGTTAAGTGTTGTGCTAAATACGTGTTCCCTCACCACAACGCCGCAAGGCAGATAATATTAGGGAACTGAGGCCCACAAAGATTAAAGAATGTGCCCCAAACTACTCAGCCACACAGTGGAAGAGCCAGACTGTGACCTCAGTAATCCTGGCTCTGGAGACTACTCCTTGGCAATGGCCTCCAGTTCTGGTGGCTCCACTGTTACCTTGAGCGAGACCTTGACCCCTCTCTAGGCTTCTGTTTTCTCATGATTCTTACCAGTCCTAAAATCCTTTTGCTGAATGACTCTAACTTTTATATTTAAAATTCTTTCTATTCACTAGACATAAATCCGTATGAAAAAGTTAAGACACATGACTTGTTTCGCAAAATTCATTTCATAAATAATACAATTTTTGAGTTAATTGACCTTGTCTGTTCTTAAAATGAAATATTAAAGTGAAAAGAATTATAAAAACACATGAACAGAACTAATCAGTAATATGAAGCCCATAGGAGATTGAAATTTAATGCTGTTTAGGTATCTAAGTGGTATAAATTACACTTTTTAAGAGAAAAAAGGATACAGATTGTATAGCAGTTCTTGAAAATGTGGTTGATTTTGAAGTGTTAAATAAAGCTTTGTACTTGAAAACATTTTAATTAAAACTTTTAATTAAACCTTTAATTTGAAATTCACTGTGTACTTAGTGATAATTGAAAGCAATTCAGTTAAATACAGAGGCTGATTTGTATTCATTGGATAAAAGCTGATGCTTATTAAGGCCTAATCTGCCATACCCTGTCATTATGGAAAATACTCGAAGAAAAATGTGGCTTTCCCAGGAGTCAACTCCAAGCTAATAGGGTTGGTATATGTGGTACCTACCTGTTGAACTTCTCATTGCTTTATATTCCATCTTTTGTTACCAAAGTTAGGCAGAGAGATTGGTGTCAACTGTGTGGCTAACCTAAGGGATCATTTTAATTGGATTAAATTGATGGCCATTTTTCCTATATGTTTTGTGGATTTTTAAATAACATTATTATTAAAAAAACTTTACAGCCTTAAAAGGTTATATTCATAGTCCCATTACACACAGTCTTAGTAATTATTTACATTTTTCCTTACACAGTATTTCCATGTTTTCATGTATGTGTATGTAGATGTAGATATGTGTATATATATGTGTGTGTGTGTGTGTGTACACACACATACACATACACACACACACTCACATACTCTTTATTATGTGCTTTTGGGAAGTTAATCCCAATATTCAATAGCAATTTATAGGAAGGAAATTTATATACCCTTTTTAATGAACAGTCTTGATTTTGTTGTACTCTTTGGGTTCACATTTTGTTAGAATGGTTTTTATTAGAATCATCTTTTTAGTTTGAAATCTGGCAACCTAAGTACAAATGGTATATCTGAAAATAATGCCATTGAAGACTTAACTGTTAACACTGACAGTTCATATATTATCCAGATTATTTATTATTTTATATATTTACTTATAAAGCTTAAATTTTCTATTTATATTGACACCTTAAGATTTCTTACTAGAAATCACAGGTGAGGTCTTTGAACTTGCTTTTCGTGATTACCAATTTTATATAAACTTTACAAAGTACATCAGATTGAAAAATAACCTTTTAGAAAGCAGTAAGATGGGAATGTGGTATGGCATCCCACATCCCAGAAACTGTTCTCTAACCTAAGTTCTCTTGATTTGTTCTGGAGCCTCTGTGTAGTGCCTTAATACCAGAAACTTTGGCTAAAACAGTGTTTCTTAGAAGACATAGGTCCCTGAATTCTGGATGACAACACTCTGGAATTATCCATCCTTTGAGTTGTAGGCTGGTGTGATTTAAGTTCCATAGCCAAGCACAGCCACTGTGGCCCTAATAGCTATAGCCCTAGAGTGCTATATTACACCTTTGCTTCTAAACCCGAGGAACATTTCCACTGAAAAGTTTCTTTATATTTTTAAGGTCAGCATGTGTTACAATTAATATCTTTTGTTATCTTTATTACAAATCAGGACAAAGTGCAATTGCTGGGGAAGAACATCCCAAAGGCTCCATTCTGCAGGAAGTGCACCTCAAATTCCTGCTTACAGGGCTGCTTTCAGGACTGCCCTCACCACAGTTTGCTATCCGTATGTGCCCACCATTGACCACAAAAAACATCAAGATGTATCAGCCACTGCTTGCTGTTGGTGGGTATTTGACCTATCTTTTTTTAACTCACTTTATAAGATGTTTGGGTTTCCTAGTTTCTAGAAAATCCATTGTTCTCTTTGAGGATTCTTTTTTCTTTTTTTTTTTCTGTCCTTTTATTCCAACTGTCTTATTTTTAATTTCAGTGGTAACTCATCCACCTTAGATTGGACAATCGAGTCTCTAACACTATAATATATTTCTGAAATGCCAGGAGGCTAGTCCCTGTGTGATTTTAAATCACAGACTTCTTATCTTTTCTTGGACCACCCCAGTCTTTCCGCGCATGCCATTTTGTATTCAGTCTTTGTTAATTAAAAATATAGTCAGAGTTAACAGTTTAATAATAGCAGCGTTCTTCATTTGCTAAGAATTGTATGTTGAATATTGTTTAAAGTGGCTATGGTTCCCTATAAACTTAGATTTGCTTTTTTGTTTGAAATTGCATATTTTCATGTTATAGATAGAAAATTTGTCTAGGTTTCAAGTTGCTGTCAATTAATTTCACAGTAAGGTGATGAACCTAATTTTTTTACAGTGTACAGAAAAAGATCAAACTTTAGTTTGCTATTAAGTATATGAGGTTAAAATACATTTCTCCAAATTTTTTGAAAAATAGTATTTGTTTGAAACTGTCAACATTTCTTCTTAAGTTGCTATTAGTTGGCTTCTGTCTTTCTCCTGAAATCTATAAACATGTGATTTGTGATTCTTTTTTTTCTTTCTTAAATGAAAACCTAACCACATTTATTTTGTGGGCAACATATCTCAGCTTAATGCCTGACTTGTCAGTACTGAAGATTCATTTGGGTATTACTGTTTGGCAGTATTTTTTTCCTGTTCTCTTCCTGTGGCTATCTTCTGAAAGTAATTTGAATTTTAAGATTCAATAGTCTGTGTATTTGTGTCCAGATTTATATAAATGCAGATAAATGTTTAATTTTGCTTTAGAAACTATTAATTCATATTTAACCTCTAATAGAGATTTTAACTTGGATCCATCAGTGTACTTTATATGTACATGTATGTACAATGTCAGTGTACCTAATTTGTCAGTTAGGATTTTGTCAATTTCTTGGGGAAAATTACTCCTTGGAACAACTATAAAATAAGACCTATGGCAAGGTCTGAGATTTATTGTAAAATAAGTTGTATTGTACTAGCATACAGTGAATATCATCATTTACTGACTTTAGTATAATAACAAAGTAAAAGTAAAAAATATAAAATAAGTGCCTAAAGTTCTGCAGTGTCACTAAGGAAGATAAGTAGAGTTCAACTATGGAATTACTTCCTGTGCTGCCCCTAGAGTATTAGTTTATAGGTTCACCATCATGAAAACTTCAGATCGTAGAGATCATTTGATTGTTATGAAGATCTTTTAATTGAAAAACTTTAGTAATACTTTTACAGTATACCAGAAGGTATTATGGAATAGATGGTAAGTATAAGCAACTGCACAATATGTTTTTCTAAAATAGTTTTGCAAAAGATTTATGGAACTTTATTTTGCAAATAAGAGAAAATTGGAATTTGCCTAGAATTTTTACTTCCATTCTATTACTTTGTATGAATTCATTAATCATTTTAAATCATGTGCAGTAAGAAAGTGATTGTCCAAATAATTTGTTCACTTTTCTTGCTTAATTGATAAATACATTTTAGACACAGAAGCTTTACTTAGGTATGTTCCTGTCCCTTCTGTTTAAATTTTAGACAGAGTACTTGAGACCATTAAAAGCTTTAGGAATAGTAATAACTTTACACTATTAATTACAGTGATAACAGAAATACTAATAGTTAACCATGTGCTTACTTTGTGCAAAGTACTACGCTGAGTGTTTTACATATATTTTCTCATTTAATTTCTAACAAATAGATTTTCTACTATTCCCATTTCAAAGAGGTAAAAACAGATTTAGTATGGGCAAATAATTCACCCAAAAGTTTCTGGCAGAGCCAGGGCTTGAGCCCAGGCTTCTTTAACTGCAGAAACCACAATTAACAATCATACTTTATGATCTTGTCAGGATTTATTTAATATGAGACAAAACAAAAACAAAAACTTTGTAAAGAAGAATAGAAAAACCTGGTTGACAAGCTCTCTTAGGTTGCCTTTTTGAGGACCAGCTGTAAGAAACCTTCTGAATCTCAAAAAGTATTATATAAACTGCGATGTGTAGAAAAGCTTAGGAAAGCTGCAAATTGTGTGTGTACTGATACAGGTTTTAAAATCTTTTTGTGAAAATCTGTCCCCAGAGTTAGGCATGATTTTAGAGCACATCAGATTAGGCCCATTTTTGATAAGGAAGTGGAAAAAAATATTCATTCTTTTTTTGGGGGGAGGTACATAGCTCAAAGCTTGAGTCCCTTTGGTAAAAGATTAAGTGTTATAAAATGATGAAAATCTTGAGAAAGATTAATGTTGAAAAGATATGGAATTCCCACTAAATTAATAGTCTTCTGTTACATCATTTTGATAGGCACAGGAAATGGTTCTGTCCTGGTGTACCACCTCACCAGCGGTCTGCTACACAAGGAGTTAAGCATCCATTCATGTGAGGTCAAGTGAGTATGTCATTGTGATGTTGGGATCACAAACATACATGATATCAGGAAAAAGTTCTCATAGACTTTTGTACATTGAACACTCTACAGTGGTATTTACAATGGTGATTATTTGAAAAATTTGAATAATGAATATTCATATCCAACTAATGGCTATGTTAATTAAGGATGAGTACTAATTGTTTGCTTTGTAAAGAACATAAGCAGTGGAGAATTTTTTCTCTTTTACTGCTATATCTTATTTATTTCTCCTAAGGTCCAGGCTAGTTTCTCACTGGAAATTTCTGTGTTGCTTTGTTCAGGTTTATTTCATTTATTTTTTATTTCTGTGAAGATCTATTAGTAGGATTGCTCATGATAAATTTGAATGAAGTCATTTTAATTGTTAATTAATGTTATTTATTTCTTTGTTTAAACATCATCAGAAAAAGTACCAAAACTGTATAGCACTTACTCTTTGCTTTTTTAGATATGATCTGTTTATGAGTGCTGTATATACAGAGATGTCTGAGGAAAGGCTACATTGATAGAGGAGTACCTCTTGCTTTTTATTTTAAAGTGCATACTTGTCTACTCCATGGCATTATTTTGCTAAACGCAAGGCTTTTTTTTTATTTTTTGCCCTATCAATGATAGATTGTACAGTTACACATACATATACAATAGAAATTTCCAGTAGTTTTTGATGATCTTTTAATGAAAGCATATTTCTGTTTTCTATATATTATGTAATTGTAGGTCTCGTGTATACATTAAAATTCTTTAGTGAACCCTTAGCGAACACATTATTCTGTGTAAATGCATTTTCTGAATGGAGAAGGGTTAACCCTTTAAATATCACAACTTCTGATTGTGATGAAAATCGCTGAGAAGTTTACATTGCCTTATTCTTTCAAGTGCATTTTTTTGTGGTACAGCCCAGGCGACTATTTATTGCTACCTTATGCTGTGCTCCTACAGTATCTCCCACATTTACATGGAATAGGAATGTCTTCAAATGCATTGAGCTTTTGGGGTACAGTGACACAGGTGTCTGTTTGGACTGTCTCAGGCTTTTGTTCATCTTTTCTCTTCTCTGCTGTTATGATGTCTGCAATTTGCCATTCTGGCACTTCTAGAAGTCTCTGCTGCCACTGCCGATATCGTCTCTCTCCTTTCCTTTCCTGTGTACATTTCTTCTCTTGACATTTCCTTTCTCCCTTGCCTTTTGTGTGTGGTGTTTCCTCTTATGGCTAACACCAACCAGTCAAAACTCCTCTTATGGCTAACACCAACCAGTCAAAACTCTCCATTTAACCAGTACTTGTTCTAAGGGTTATATTAAGTATTAATACATTGCATGCATCGTTTTGTTGAATCCCCACTACAACCGTATGGGATAGACATTATATTTCCAATTTACAGAGGAAGAAACTGAGAATTACAGAGTAATCTATGAAAGAGGTAGATGGAATTTAGTCTAGGCCTTTGAAGCTTCATAGCCTTAGGTCTTGACTTACTTTTACAGTGCATGTCCTAGATCTCCAGCTAAAAAAATTCACATAGATTAGTAGAAATATTTTGACAATAAAATAAAAATGTTGGCTGAACCAAGATTAATGCAAAGAATTTGACACATGCTTCTGAAAAATCAAACACATTGTCATTTTTTCCCTTAATAGTGAAAACTTCAGTAGCTAATTTATCAATTAGCTCTTAGTTTTAAGTAAGATTTGTTATCCTGGATCAGTCAGATTGTAGATGTCACTAAATATTATAACTTACACATGCTATGATAATATTTATGGTTGAATGACACTGAAATTAATTAGAAAGTGTTATTTGAGATACTGAATAACTAAGGGATATGCTACTCAGTCTCACGTTGTGAATGATCATACAAAGATACTCCATTTTTTATATTAATTTTCCCTCTTAATTGCCATGTTGAAAATAATTCACATTTTATATTCAGAGATTCTGCCCAAGGGGATGCTGAAATCCTGCTGTCTTTTTGTTTCAATTAATACAATTTTAGTATTACAATTAAAGCCATTATAAAAATTTTGCAGATGTGTTATAAAAATTTCAGAACTTATTATCAATAAAGCCAATACATTCTAGATTTTATATGCAAATTATGCTTACTTTTATAAAATTGTTTTTCTACCTTATACTAAAATGTGTTTTTTTAAATCATATAATCTTAAGTACTTGAATGTTGTACATACATACAGCCAGGGAATATAACCCTGTAGTTCCTGCAAATAGTTGCATGTGTGTGTTTTTTTAAAACCAGGATGTTTTAACCAGGGATACTTGACTCAAATATCTATTGAGAATATTCTATATGCTTGTAAACAGACAAAGCATTTGATGCTTATAATCCAGTGAAAGATACCTGGAAGTACACAAAATAGAGAGATACATGTAGGTTTTCTTAGATTATTAGTTTGTGTCTTTGTCCAGTAGGCTGAGTTTACAATACAATCGAGTATCCCTTATTCAAAATGCTTGGGACCAGAAGTGTTTCAGCTTTTGGAGTTTTTTTGGATTTTGGAATATTTGCTTATATATAAGGAGATATGTTGGGGATGGGCCCTGAGTCTAAACCCAGAATTCATCTGTGTCTCATATATACCTTATACACATAGACTGAAGGTTGCTTTATATAATATTTTTAATAATTTTTTACTTGAAACTCAGTTTGTGTACATTAAACCATCAGAAAACAAAGGTGTCATAATGATGCTCAAAAAGTTTTGGATTTTAGGGCATTTTGTATTGGATTTTTGGATTAGAGATGCTCAACCTGTAATATAGCCCAGTACTATTTTGAATGTCAAAAATTGCTATTATAATAGTAGCATATATGGATATCAGAACATTGATTGACTCAGTATTGCTTTGAGTAAATTGAGTGATTTGTGGAAAGTAAAATGATCTCTATTTTGTCTGTCTGTATTTGCAGAAGGATCTTAGAATTTCAAGGCCACTCAGAAAATGTGTATTCCCACTAGCCACCCAGTGTTGAGAAGGAGCCTCTCTATGGCAACCCCAGTAGGTGGTCAAGAGGCCCAGCTTGAGAAACTGCAGGAGTCAGAACCCTACATACCTGTTGATAATTCTAAGGTTATAATTGTTCAGTGGTTAGGAATCCAAAAAAAAAAAAAAAAAATCCTAGATCAAGCCAGAAAATGAGCTGCTGTTCTTATTAATTTTTTATAGACCTCAGTGTACAGTTAGACCTAGATGATAGTGTTCTAATCCTGAGGGCAGTGTGGTACTCAGCTGTGTTTGGTAAGAGTTTTTATTTTTTTCTGAGAAATAATCCCCTCCTTATCTAATCCACTTTGAAGTTCAACTTGGTTTTTATTTTCCTTAGTAGGAATCAGATATACAAGCTGCTTCTGTAATCTATTCAAAGGCAACATGCTCATACTGCTAGGTTACAAGTAAGCAGCTACCCTGTGTTCTGTTATATCCTGTATACTAGAACATCTCGTAAACAGTGGGGAAAGCACTTCTCTGAAAATACATGGAACCAATAAACATAAGGAGTGCTGAGTTTTTCTTGGACATCATTCCCGTAATCTAACAAAATTTCCTGAGTACTTACCATGTGCCTGGAGAGAAATGATGGGGTAGCTCCTTTCTAAGAGAGTATAATCTAGCACGGTGTTTCTCAGCCAGCCACACGGTTTCCTCAGTCATTCAGGCTTAGATTAAAGCCCAGTTTGCCCTTTGGGTCTGAGCTTTAATAGTCTTCAGGGGCTGCCTGGCCCCTGAGACCAGATTATGTCTGATTCTTACATGGTCATGCTGAACTCTTCACTTTCTTCTGCAGTAAATAATATAGAAGGCGCTTGTGTAATGTCTCTTTTCTGCTAGATTGTAAGCTCCAGAAGGACAGCAATTATGTCTGTCTTGTCCATGGCTGCATTTCCAGTGCCTAGCCCAGTCACTCACGTATACCAGCTACTTAACAGATACAATTTTGGAAATAATGAATGAGAAATGGGAGGACTGGAATTCTTACGGTCCAGAGATAGTGGCATCACTATTCTGGAGCATGATCAGTTCAGACTGCAAGACTTGGAGGGTGGGTCTTAGGGTTTCTGTGGACAAACAGGTCTCATTGAAGCTACCAGACCAATACAGAGAGCAGAATACATCCAAAATGATTCCTCTTATCTTTTGTTCACTCTAAGTAGAAAAATTGGTGAATACTGTTGCTGTTAGGAAAACAAAAGGAGAAACAAGAGTCCAAGGGACTTTTCTAGTGACTAATTATCCAAATTATATAGTATTCACTATGGGTGTGGTTTGAGTTTAGGAAATGGGGAGGCCTCATAAAGAAAATAGGGCTTCAGTTAGATGTTGTAATGAGAGTAATAATGATAATTGCCAATACACATGGTGATTACTATGTGCCAGGCTTATTCACATACTCAGTGATACTATTCCTGCACAACAGATGAGGAAATCGAGATACAGAGAGAGCACAGAGCTGTTAAGTGCTCGAGCCAGGACTTGAACTCCAGTGGTATTTGAAGAGGAAAGTTCATTCCAGGCATGGACATTCCCAAAGGTACTCAGTTATAAGTAGCCTAATCTGAGTGTATCAGTGAAACTTCATGTTTAAAAAGTTACAATCCTTGATAACCACAGCAATTCTCTGCTGTTGCAAATTGTTGTTAGTTCTCTTTGGATTATGCTTGTCCTTCTGAGGAAAGACAAGTAGATCGGTACAAAGGGATCAGTAAGGAAGGTTATTCTCATTAAAGTGGCAGATAAGGTTCAAATGATTGAGAGGTCAGCTTGGTTAGGTAGGATGAGGCTAATGGTTGGATAGCTTTGAAGGCCACATAGAGGAGTTTGGATATTATACAGGAAGCCATTGTGCCTTCTTGGGTAAATAGGAAACATGTTAAAAACAGTATTTCATGCTAAACCTAGCAATAGCATTCAAGTTGGTATAGAAATGGATAAACTAGAGCACAGGTTGGTAAACATTTTCTGTAAAGAGGCTGATGGTAAATATTTTAGGCTTAGGATTTTAGCCCTTAAAACCTCTGTCACAGCTACTCAACACTGCTGTTGTATCGTGAGAGGTGCCATAGATGATAAATTGTTTTTAAAAATGGCTGTCCCATAAATGCTGATGAGCAGTCATGTAGAACAGAGGTTCCGACTTCTCTCCCAACCAGCCTCGATCACCTTGTAACCAGTGTGGATCCTTCTCATGACTCTGATGGGGCTGGCTCGTTGTCCCAGTGGCCCCTTCTCTCTTCCATTCTCTGCAGATTGTGACAGTTTGCACTGTCCAGTTATGTTAGTGGGAAAAAATTTGTCATCACCTCCTGTCCCACATAAACGAGACTCCCAGGGCATTAGCTTGCCATCTTGTCATACATATCTTTTTCCTTGAGATTTTTCTTTTGTGCTTCTCTCTAATTGATGTACTATTTGGAACTTTTAACCACTTCAAAATCTAACAGCTCAGTTTCTATTCTTTGTTTCTGAAATTTCTGCTTTCAAACCAAGAATTTTGTTAAAATTTGGTAAAATTCTTAAGTGTACCTAACTTTAAGCATTCCACTCAGAATATTTCTATACCACTTCTTTTTAAGCAGTTGGAATTCTTGGAAACTACTGTCATGTGATTCACTCTCTGGCCAGATTATAATAGTCATTTTAATGCTGAATGAATTTTAATGCTAATGAATCCTGGTCACTAAACTATCTTGTCACTACATTTGGAAATAAAGTTTTAATTAGAAATAATTTTATATGTGTTAGAAATATATGGTAATATAGTCTCAAATATAAGGTCACGTTATGATAAAAGGTTAGCTGGGAGCGGTGGCTCACGCATGTAATCCTAGCCCTTTGGGAGGCCAAGGGTAGAAGGATCACTTGAGCCCAGGAGTTTAAGATCGGCCTGGACAACAGCAAGACCCCTGTCTCTACAAAAAATAAAAAAAAAAATTAGTGAGGCATGGTGGTACATGCCTGTAGTCCCAGCTACTTGGGAGGCTGAGGCAGGAGGATCACTTGAACCCAGGAGTTGGAGGCCGCAGTGAACTATGATGATGCCACTGCACTCTAGCCTAAGCAGTAGAGCAAGACATTATCTCAAAAAAAAAAAAAAATTATTTTTTGATTAACTTGTGTAATAAAATTTAGGTCTTAGGAAAACTTATTTTTTAAATAAATGTTCCCAACAAAAAAGGGTATTAATTTAGTCTGTGTTTAATTTCTCATTATAGGGGTATCGAGTGGACAAGTTTAACCAGCTTTCTTTCTTTTGCTACCTCAACACCAAACAACTTGGGATTAGTGAGAAATGAACTTCAGTTGGTTGATCTTCCAACAGGTTTGTTTTAAAGGATTCAAAGTGGTTTGTCATATTGATCAGTGATGTTGTTATTTATAAAACATGTCCAAAATACTTTTACCTTTGAATTTTATCTTGTTTTCTGTGTTTATATATTCTTTTGTTTTGTAATAATTGCTCTAGAAAGATCTCATCATTGTTTTTATGGAAATTTTGTTAACACAAATACATGATAAAGTGGAGGACCATTAACTTAAACAGATTCATAAAAAAAATAGGATACCAGGTCTACTTTTTAAGTGCATTGTTATATATAATCAAAAGATCAATTTTAAAATTACTCTTTATTAGATTCTCTGTTTAAAAATTTGGCCTTGGGCCAGGCATGGTGGCTCATGTCTATTATCCCAGCACTTTGGGAGGCTGAGGCAAGAGGATCACTTGAGCCCAGGAGCTCAAGACCCTGTCTCAAAAACATAGGGAGACTCTGCCTCTAAAGAGAGAGAGGGAGAGGGAGGAAAGGAAAGAAAGCCTTTTCAGGAAACCCTTAGAAAACCCAGAGGTTAAGTATTGTTAAGCTCGAATTTAAAACTTTTGATAGTCTCTGACTAACTGAATAGGGAAACTTGATTTGGAAGTTTGAAAACTCTGTAATAGGAAACATTCCAGTAAAGTAACTTGTTCAGAATTGTTAAAAACCTAAACCCAGTGAATTTCAAAAGAACTTGAAAATCTAATAAGGTGAGAGTTTAAAATTATTTTATGGTACATGCAGTAATTTCATAAAGGCTTTCTGACAAAATTATGATAAGTTTCTTTAAAATGGTATAGCAATATGAATATATATAGATGATTTTAACCAATATATGTGTGTACCTGTGTGTGTAAAATAGATCAAGTAAATGGTTGTAAATAAATGAAGTATATGGTTGTTTTCTTATATTCTCCATATGTATTTCCAAGCTCTCAAAGATATAGGTGCTTTTTACTGAACCTTAAGGCAGCAGCCCCATCTGTAGTCCAGTGTCGTTCTGGTCTCATTGGAAGTGACCTGCTCAGTGAGCCTTATCCTCAGATTCCTAGTTTGCGAACAAACTGGCACCGGCTCTCTAGTTACGTAGTATCCCAGGGGTGAAATGCTGTACTCTAGCATCATTCATTAAAAAAATCCTTGTTCATTTTTTTCCAGTCAAGTCAAGTTGAGAACTATAAGATACAACTTAAAATCTTTCACAGATTTATTCTTAAGGAACTAATGTCTACAGTAATAATTAATGACTTCCTTAAGTGGGATATTTGAGTTCATAGATTAGACTTTTATAGCCTTGTCTTCTAAGGAGGCCAGCAGACTAACC